GTTACTAACTGGTTAGCAAGATGCTTCCAACAAACCGGCCACAACTAAACTTGCTTGCGTACCTTCCGCCACAACAATCCCGCCCCCTTGATAAATGACCAATCACATTCACTTTATTCACTCGTGTAAAGTCGGGCAGCACTACGGAGAATTTGGAAATACAACGGTTGGAACAGCCGCTTCCCTACGACTTTGGATGAACCATTTAACCTGAACTGTGAGTCTTGCCTTCGGTTCTGCTCGTTCTAACTGGGTTCCTCTTCATTCGACCCAAACCACTGTGGCTGCGCATCTGATGCAAACATCTCCAGTGGTTCTTATCTCCAACTTGATTTTCCTTTTTGAATGTGAATAAGTTTGGGCTGAATTGTTTCTTCCTGTTAAAAGGGAGTTTTTCCTCTCCACTGTCGCTACAAGCATGCTTAGTGTGAGGGATTGAGTGAGTCAATGAGTCGATGCAATCAACTGGTTTTCCTCAGATAGAAAAATTTGAATCATTTTGACTGGATGATCTGGTTGAACTGTAAAGTGCCTTCAGATGACGTGTGTTGTGAATTGGTGCTATAGAAATAAACTTAACTGAAACTGTCTAATTTGGCTTCCATACACAGCTTCCTGCAGAAACAGGCGGGGGAGGGGAACCTCCTCTGCTAGTCTGTATTTAACACACTATGATTGTTTTATTGAAGCCTCTGAAAAGTTCGGCAGACTTTTAAACTAGAACCGGCCCGGGAGCCAGAGGTCAGTCCAGGTTCTGGATCCTTCTGGGTTTAACTACTTTTTTTTTAAATCAACATTTTTATTTTATTTCTTTCTCATTCAAATCCCCAGACTCTTAACTCTTCTGTATGAGGCCGTTTAGCAGCATGGTTTTCCTTCCACCAAATCGTCCCCCAATATGCAGCTCCTTATTCTGTGTGTGGACAGCCATCTTCCTCATGGCGGTGCGGGACATAATCTGGACGCCGTAGAAGATTATTTCCTGTCAGATCGAATTACTAAACTTCTAATAAATGACTGGAGTTTACCTTCAATGATCCACATCAGCTTCCTTATGTGTTTCTGATTCATTGATTCTTTCCCACCTGACCCTTGGCGAATCAGGGGCTGCTGGGGGCCTCTGAGGTGAAGGTAAGGCGACCTCTGGAGTTGAAGCGGCGGTTTGAGGCCGAGCCGCCGCAGGTTTTGGAGGCAAACACTAAGCCTGCTGTTATCCCTGCTAATGCTCAGGCCCGCAGCATCCACATCACCACACCGATCACGTTGCTGATGCCAGGCTAGGGGCCAGCTATTCGGCAGCGCGGCACCCAGAGGACGCCGCAGGAATCAGATCCATTACGCTCCCATCCTCATCAAAGGGACTCTGGGACCGGGAGGCTAAACCGGCTCCAGATGCTCGCTGTTGGATTCACTGAGATGCTCAGCGGGGTGAGCGTCACCGGGGCCGACGCCTCTGATACGGGCAACAAAAAAACCACAAACGGTCCGCCTCAGTCCCGCTGATTGGATTTGTTTCAGGAGCTCAGTGGGGATCAAAACAAAGCAGATGTAAACAAAGGCGCTCTCTGCTCACCGCTGGACAAATAGATACACAGAGAAATGAACTACGATCCGGCAGAAAGCCTCATTATGGGATGTTTACCTGTGATGGAGCCAGATCAGGTTCCATCCAGCACACAGTTCTGCTCCTCCCTAAAAAAAAACATAATCTTACCCAAATGGACCGACAGGAGCTACGCCTCTGGGCTGCAGACATTTTTCCACCTGTTCACAGTGGGACGATTCCAGCATTACGAAGTTAAACTATAGTTTTCTAGATTAGATTAGATTCAACTTTATTGTCATTACACAGGTACAGGTAGAAGGCAAGGAATCAGAAATACTTTAATAATCCCAGAGGGAAATTACTTTTGTTACAC